TTATTATTCTTTGGCACCAGAAAGACAACAGAGTAACCACTGCACCGATGAAATCATCTGGAGAACCCAGGTATCTAGGTTATTTGTTACCACTTAGCAAACAACAGTAACCTGCGTACCACCAGTAGATCATCACAGTCATTGTTGCTGCATCGGAGATACAGTAGTGCCTCGCTTAACAGGCGCTCCGTTTAGCGATGAAATAGCTTAGCGATGACTTTTTCGGAACGTTTTTGTGCTTCATTTAGCGATAGTCCCTATGGGCAATTTTCGCTTAGCAATGGTTGGGACCATGCTTCGCATAGCGATTAAATTTTGGGTCCCCTGTTTCACTTAACGATGGTTTAAACAGCCTTATGTTTGCTGCTTTTTAAATGTTTTTTCTGTTATTTATAAAGTTAAAGTTTACTGTTAAAAATGTTTGAAATCATAAAATGCACTTAATAAACCCTTTGTTAACCAAATTTGACTTTGTTCTGACTCTTTTTTAATTTGTTGTTGTATTTTTCCCCCATTGAGATGCACTGAATAGGTTTCAATGCATTTCAATTGGGGAACTGCATTTCACTTAGCGATGTTTCCTATGGCGATTTTCGCTTAAGGACGACAATTCGTTCCTATTGGAATGGATTATCCGGTTTTCAATGCATTTCAATGGGAAACCGCGTTTCGCTTAGCGATGAAATCGCTTAGCAGCGATTTTTTCCGAACGAATTAACATCGCTAAGTGAGGCACTACTGTATCTGTGGTCCCTTACTGGAAAGACTTGGTCTATATCTGCCTAGGTTGATCTCTCTCTCCCTTCCATAGCTATCAAGGTGTCCAACACTCCCGCCCCTTAAATGTCTGATCAAAGAGATGAAAAAGTGTCTTAGAAGATTTAAAGGTACTGTATGCTTGCCCCCTTTTTATCTGAAGGCACTACTTTTCTTTTGTCTTAGTCTCCAACACATTGTCTAAGACTGTAGGGCAGCAATGGAGAACCTATGGCACATGTGCCACAGCTGGCACGCAGAGCGCTCTCTGCAGGCACACGAGTCATAAGTCGCTGGATCGCTTCCCCCCACAGCTGAACCTGAGGAGGCAGCTGCAGCCGCGGTGCTAGCACCCCGACAGGCAGTGGGCCAGGATCTGGAGCAGCTGGTGCTGGCGACTGGAGGCAGATCCGGAGGCACCTATGTGCCCGGGATTCCCCATTCTGCTGCCGCTTCTGCCACCGCCCGCTGTCCACTGTTCTCTCCCTCCGCCATTTTGGCCACTCAGGCCTAAAAATGTTCGCCATCACTGCTCTAGGGTATCACCAAAGAGCCTTTTCTCTGCAAAACGAGTGGAATACAAATTGATCTTAGACTTGGGAGTCTGCATTCTAATTTCTTAACCAGAGATGGCATCTGGCAACCTCATCAGCAGCCACAGAATGAGCTGAGAACTACATCCAAACTAGTATTAGCCATAAAGGTGGCTGCTTTGATCAATTTATTGATTCCCTGTCTCAGACATTATCACCAGGAACTTACACCAAAATGTCCTTGCCTATTACACAGAGCTGAGAGCAAAGACTGTATCCACTGTAGAAACTCTGGCAGTTAAAGCCAAAGTTTCATGGGCTACATAGACAATTATAGGCAAATATTTAACTTCTCATCCTTGGGATATCGAGTCTCCTCCCCATACTTAGGACACAGAAATCCAGATACTACAGCTGCTACTAGGGCATCCATCAAAGGAATCTTAAACTTATCACTAACAGTAATAGAGAAAGAATAAAAATGCTTAGCCTGTAAAACATTAAGTTTAATGCACCAGGGAAAGTCTATTCATGGGAAATAACATCCATAAACAAGCCTGGAAAGGGAGCCATTGTACCAGACTCTGCATCAATCACCTTCTGATATTTTACAGACAGTACAAAGAGCTGCATTTGGATAAACAAATTTGAGGGGAGGGAAGCATGATTGTGCCAGCTAGTGAACCAGATGGCTCAAAATCACACACACCACATCTATCATTGTAACCAGAGATGAGGTATTCATATTAGTATATGAATATCCCCGTACAGGTAGAAATAACGAGAATTTCGCCACTGCTGCCAGCTCTGCTGAGGCTTCCTATCACGCTATTCTCCACAATGGATTAGCACTCTGCGACCTGGCAGAGAGGCTTGTCATCCCACTTCCTGCCAGGACTGGGTAATTGATAGCAGACAACGGCATGATAGGAAGGTGCGACGAGCTCGCATCAGCGGCATATCATGACCCTCATTATTTCCACCTGTGCGGGGATATTCGTATTTGTATACAAATTCCCCCATTTCTAATTGTAACTTGTAAATTATGCCTCTTCACCTGACTGTGCCCTCTAAAGGGTGTGAATTTAAGAAGTGGAAGAATAATCAAAGGACTGAAGGCCAGAACAGGTACGTTTGCGAACACAATCTCTTTTATGTCCATAAGGAGATATCTAGAAGCCAGATTATGGTTAATCTCTACCTTTTACATTGGCGCCTTGAGTTGCGAACCTAATCCATTCTGGAATGATGGTCGTAACTCAAGTTGGTTGTAATTCAAAGCACCATTTCCCATAGGAATACACTGAAACATGATTAATCCATTCCGGCCAACACCCCCCCCCAAAAAAAACCACTGCAAGACCCATCAAATCACAGAAACATAACCTCCCTCCCTGAATCAAACAAACCAATTCCAGCAGGGACTAAAACACACACTGCAAGATCCATCAGAAACACGATTAAGATGTTCCAGCTGAACCCCCCACTAAAGAACACACTAAAAAAACTCAGCAGCCACAGAATTAAAAAAATGCTAAAATGACACACTGCAAGACCCATTGAAGCACAGAAACATAACCCCCCGCACACACCAAACCTGAGCAGCCACAGAATAAAAAAATTCTAAAACAACACATTGCAAGACCCAGTGAAGCACAAAAACATAACCCCCCTGCCCAGCCCAAACCTGAGCAGCTACAGAATTAAAAAATGCTAAAACGACACACTGCAAGACCCATCGAAGCACAGAAACATGAACCTGAACCCAAACAGCCACAGAATTAAAAAAAAACAATTCCAGCAAACCCCCACCCAGCCCAAACCCATGCTGCAGAACCCCAGTACTCACCCAGAACAAGCAGTCTCTCCGTTTTAAAAAAGAAAGTCAAAAAGCAAAAATAAAAGCAGTACCAGGCAGTCCGAAGCGTCTCTAAGAACGCACTCTCTCTAACCGCTGGAGCGAAGGAGCTACAAAGAAACAGCCTCTTCGCCGACCAACGGTTAGCAGTTTGAATTCCACACCTTTTTTCTGATCGTATCTCACAGCTCTGGTTGCAAGTCAAAGCAAAATTTTGCGACCGGAGCTGGTCATAACTCGATTTGGTCGCAAGTCAGGACAATCATAAGTCGAGGCACCACTGTATTTCCTTTCAGAAAAAGTGACAGGAGCAAGGCAGCAGTTTTTACTCATGGCCAGGCAAATTGTCGCCTTTATATGAGAGTCAGATTGTGACTGCTTGGTTTTCTCTACACCAGAAAGGATGGGAACAATGCACTTAGCCTCAGCAGCCCCTCCTTGCCTGCTGTCAAGGTCTGAATAGTTTGCAAAAGTATCCAGGAACAGTTCCAGATTATCTGCCCTGGACATACCAAATTCTCTCAGGGGAAGTCAAGAAAAGGGAATGCAGCCACAAAGATTAAGAGGAGGAGAGCTCTATCAAAGATCCTGTGTATGGACTAGAGCTCAACAGGACAGAAACTGAGAGAGTTCTCTCTCAGTCAGGAGAATGCAATGTAATTTGATTAACAGCTTGGTCCTGCCTCTGGAGTAAGTAGGAGGAGTTTGCCCACACTAGACTATCCTCCTCCACTGCAGGAAAACCATACAACAAAACTGAAACTTCCTGGCTCTCAAAAATGAAACTCATACTAGAGGTAACAAAATTTATCTAATCAGCTGCATGTTTCTTTTAGGCTCTAACTAAGATTGATTAAATTATATCTAGTGAAATTAGAAATATATAAACCAAATTTTCCATTTCAGATATTTACAGCTTTCTTACAGCTCTACAACTGTACAGTTCACTTATATAGCTAATTGTAAAGGGGAACCAGATTATCTGGCATGTTGGCAAAGGAAAGAAAAAAAGAAAAAGAAAATAAAATGTTGCTGCACATTAAAAATAAACATACAGAACATGTCTTCTGTTTACAGAAGAGTTTACCGTATTTTTCTGTGTATAAGACGACCCCCACTTTTCTAACCCAAAATTAAGAAAACTAGGTGAGGTTTAGCAAATGTAGGGTAAAAAGGATCAAAGTGCTGCAGGATGGCTTTGATCCCTGCTTTCTGCCTTTGTGCTAAGTCCTGCGTGGCTTAGGAAAAGGGAGGAGGAAAGGGATCAAAGCAATTCCACAACTGCACAATCATTTTGATTCCTTTCCCCCTTATACAGCCACAGGATTGCTTTGATCCTTCCCCCCTCCTTTTGCTAAGCCCCATGGGACTTAGCATGCAGATGGGAAAGCAGGGATCAAAGCGATCCTGCAGCACTTTGATCGCTGTTTTCCTTTTGCTAAGGCTTAGCAAGTGGAGGGGAAAGCAGGGATCAAAGCCCTGCAGGATCACTTTGACTCCTGCTTTCCCCTCCACTTGTTTTTTCTCCTCAGCTTACTTCCGTGTATAAAATGACCCTCAATTTTTAGTCTAAAGATTTTAGACAAAAGTATAGTCTTATACACCGAAAAATACGGTATATCTCACACTAGATCATTGTTCAAGGAGAAGCAAAATCCTTTTTTTGCATGGAAGCTTGTGTAAGGTTTTGCAAAGCATAAACTGATAGAACACTACACATGCTACCCAAAATCTTCAGTAGTGACTGCACAAGAATCTTAAGAACTGCTCCAATAGCTATTTTATATGTTTACAGTACTTCTGATTCAAACCAATGTTTTCATTTTATTCTGAACATTAAACAGATCACCTACCTTCTCCCAGTGAACAATTTCCCAAGCTCCATTTCTCAATACTACAAATAGGAAGAACAAACAATATGAACACAGAAGTTGATTATTTCATGTAAAATAAACAAAATCCTTATTTATGGTTTTAGTAAAAAAGTTTATAAATTAAAAAAGATAATAACCATATAAAATGAAATAAGTAACATTTTCATCTATGCAGGGGCAAAAATTATACTACTTATAAAAACATATGCTGAAACATACACACTACAGCTAAAAGCATGTTTACTGAACACAAAAACATGGTGTTAGAGTTTGTTACTGTGAGATCTATCATGTTTTGGCCATAAGAAGTGAGGAAATAGCACATATCTCAGAGAGAATAGATGATGAACATCAGCCACATTTTTAAGTTAACATTTAACATTTCCAGAGCTGAAATCTTGTTGTGAAATTCTGACCACCTCAGTTGAAATTGTTCCCAGGCCTCTAATTTCTTCTTAAGGATGAAAGTATTTACTTGGGAGTCTCAAGACCCTTAGGAAAGCAATCAGAAAAGTTTAATTTCTGGAAAAATTAGTGCCATTGCTGATGTCATCAGCCTCATACAGTATAATTTAGGGTAACAGTATTTCAGCCTAGGGGAACATGATTATCTAGATCAGTGGTTCTCAAAGGAAAAAAGCAGAAAAAATATTTTCAAATGCATTACCAGAACTGGCCACCAGAGACCATGCTATGCAGTTTTCACTAGCAAGTATTCATGGCACAATCTCTGGCTGCCTCTAGTGACCAGTTCTGGTAATACATGTGAAAACAGTTCTTTCTGGATTTTTTTCTTTTAATATTTTTAATATTTTCAAGCCATAGATAAGTGAATCAGTGACACTCATCCCATGGATAAGGAGGTCCTACCTACTGCATTATTTCAAAATGAATCACAATAAAACAAAAGAAGCCCCCCAACTTCATGACTTTATTATTCAATTTTTCTATATTGCACATTACCCACTTCCTACCTTGTATTTGCTTCTTGTTTACAGCATTATCAGCTTTATGTCTTTTCTGAAATAAAATTATATGTCAGATTATTGTAATTAAGTGTAAACACCCATGCTGAAATCCGGTGGCATAATTTATGCCTGTATAAAAGTTGTGGTATCACTGGCAGGGGATGACTTTTGATAATTAAAATCTTCCTATTTCTATACTGTGCCTTTTCAGATTTTTGTGTTAATCCCTCTTATCATGTAGAAGCTGGCAAAGCCTCATGATGGGAGGCATTAACACCATCATGTTTGGTAATTAAAGATTTCCTCCTTCTGTTCTGCAGCTGCCAGCTATCACATGATGGAAGGGATCACAAATAGTCAGAAAAGCCACAGAACAGAAGGAAGAATGTTTTCATTACCAAAACTCACATACTGCCAGTAACATCAGCACCTTTCCACAGGCACATGTCACACAACAAGACTTCAGCCATTATACAGTTTAGAAGGGGAGCTGTAAGTAAGAGTCATTCATTGAGGGCTCTGTCTCAAGAGTTTCAATCCATCACCCTTCTTAGGAGCCTATCATATTTGCAGACAATGCACTGAAAAACTGTATGTGTGGAAATGTATATATAACTTTTGATTTAAAGGCTCTTGGAGACAGCATGTCTGGCACAATAAAAATGGCATAAATATTTAAATAAACAAAAAAGCAACTATTAATAATCAAATACAGTTTTAGTGTCAGAGGACAGTTGTATTTCATGTCCTTTCTACATGCACATATTTGTCTCTCAGTGATCTGAATATTACTACAAATGTAATTCTTTCAGCATAAATTTCACTAGCAAGCTTCCATGAATTAAGAAGTTAGTGTAGACCTCTGCTGTTGTGCAACGCGTAATGCAACTGGTGTGCAATAGCAGATGCCAATGCAGACTTTTTAACTTCTGCAATTTGCTGCTGAAATTCTTGCAACATATATTTATGATTCATATAGATGAAATCCTGTTCCTTGTTATATCAGGTTGCAACTACAGTAGGCCACTGAATTATTGGAAATTTGGCAAGTCAACTCATTCAGCCTATAATTCAGCATAAATCAGTCCAGAAGCCAATTTTTATCATCTGATCTTAGCCATACCTGTAAACTAGCTGCCTTGAAGAATATAGCTGTGACACCAAATGGATGGAATTTCTTGTGGTAACTGTTAATCTATAAGCATCCATTTGTTGTTATACTTAATGCCTAATTAATACACATGTTTTAAATAATTTAATAAGATACAAAGAAATGCATATGCATGTGAAAATTGTTCCTCAGTGAAACAAAAAAAGAAAAAAACACCCTTCAGTTTTAGAATTCATTCCTGGTGTCAGGAAATGTTTGTTGTAAAAATTTCCTGTTTCAAAAACAGGTCCAAACAGGAAGAGGGGAAAAACCTAGCATAAAAATTTTCTTATATAAACTACTGTGGCACTGATCCATATTAAATATCAAAAGAACACAAAAGTTTGATAATTATAAAATGAACAGCAAGTGGTAGAGGGATAGTTAGTTGTTTCAGTTCTACTCCTGGACTTCCTATTGTTAGAACATATTGACAAAAATCCAGTTGCACAACTACATGTCTGCAACCCAAGGCTGCATGTATGATAGCTGTATTAGCACCAAGATGGAAATGCTATCCCTAAACACTTGTTCTGGCTCACTGCACAATCGGTCATGCTGGGAATACACAGTCTATTGTGCAATTGCAAAACGTAATTCATTGTTGTTGGGCATAACACCCAACACATTGCATCTCTGTGTGAATAGGATATTGACCATCATGTATTTCATATGTATGATAATGGATATCTGTTACACAGCCCAATATTTTCTTCTTGCTACACAGAAAAAAAATTAAGATCTGCTACTGTTCTAGAAATTCAAGACATTCCACATACTACCTATATAAAGTTATCTTCTATACATTGGAAGCACTTCTGAATTGAATTGAATTCAATTTGATAATTTATATTTAAATATCCATGCTACTTAAACATAAGGATTAAGATCTAATTTTATTCGGAAAATATTTTAGGTTTACCCCACTGCCGGAAAACTCAAGAGTAGTGGCAAGGACACTGGATGACAGAATATAAAAATTGAAGGAAGGAATAGTACTTACAACATCTTCTATTATTTCTTTAACTGCTGCTACAACTAAAATAAATAAGAGAGGAACCAAGGTTGTATAACGTCCTGTTGGAGAAACATCTGGAATTTGCTAAAGAAAAAGAGGAAGAATATTTAGATTTTAACAATTACTCATATTTTATAACTATAATAAACAAAACAGTAATATGAAAGCAGTATTAAGCCCTTTAAGTGTAAGAGAGAACAATCTCTTGAAAACAGATGAATGATTGGGGTGGACAACATGTGGCCTACAACTAAATGAACTTCTCCAGAGGATTGAACAAGGCCTCCAAGACGCCAACCACCTCTAATGAAATTGCTTGTTTTTGTGTGAAAGAATTGGATGGTGGTGGTAATAGGAAATGGTGTGGCCATCCAAAGTCCAGGGATGAAGATGTATGGCTCCTGGACCTCTAGACAATAACCACCCCTGTAGACAGCTAAAATGTCAGAAACAGTGATTTTTTTTTCTGTCAGATATTCTTTTATTTATCTAAATGAAACTGATAAAATGAGTTTAGTTGTTATTTCATTAGAGCAATGTGTACTACTGATGTTAAACAAGAAATTCCATTCCTGTATTTTCTGAATTTGTATTACACAATTCATGGATAAGAACACTGTAGCAAAGCATGTTCAAATCAAACATGTATATGTTTACCTCATTTTCTTACCTGAAGCAATGCAATGAAAAGAAAAAAGGCATTTGCAGCTCTTCTGAACTGGGAATAGAGGAACCTCGGCAGGAATGTGATAAAGTTGTATTTTGCAGTGCTAAGAGACAGAGAGTAAAATTGCATATAATTAAGTAATAGATATGAAAATCATATACAGTGGTGCCTCGCTTAACGATGTTAATTGGTTCCCAAAAGAACATTGCTACAGGAAAACATCGCTAAGTGAAACACCCTTTCCCACAGGAATGCTTTGAAAACTGGATAATCTGTTCCAATGGGAACGGATTACCGTTCTTAAGCGAAAATCGCCATAGGAAACATCGCTAAGCGATATAATGTTTCCCCCATTGGAATGCATTGAAGCCTATTCAATGCATTTCAATGGTTTTGACAGGTCCGTTTTCGCTATTTTTAAAGTGTCTTAAAATGTTCAAAAACTGCATTGAACGCATTCCAATGGGGGGGGGGAATTCACCAAAAATTAATGAAGACTCAGAACAAAGCCAAATTAAGTTTGCAAAGGTTTTAAAAGGTGCACTAATGATCCCACACATTCAAAACAGTTTTTGAACATTTTAAGACACTTTAATAATAGCGAAAACTGACCTGTCAAAACCATTGAAATTCATTGAATAGGCTTCAATGCATTCCAATGGTTTTGACAGGTCCATTTTCGCTATTTTAAGTGTGTCTAAAATGTTCAAAAACAATTCCAAGCATTTAAAACAGTTTTTGAACATTTTAAGACACACTTAAAATAGCGAAAACAGATATCGCTAAGCGAAACAGGGGGACCTAAACTGCCATCGCTAAGCTAGGCAAGGTCCCGAACATCGCTATGCGAAATTTCCCCATAGGAAACATCGCTAAACGGAGCACAAAATCGCTCCAAAAACCTCATCGCTAAACGAATAAATCGTTAAATGAGGCAATCGCTAAGCGAGGCACTACTGTAGCCTGCAGCTAAAATTTACTACTGCATATACAATTTGACAAGTCTACATATTATTTCAAGTTTTTTGAACCTATGTCCACACAATAGGTTTCAAGAGATGTGGAGGTTCAGCTTCTAGTCCAGAATAGCCAAAACTAGACATAGGATGGGACCTCTGCTATTACCTAAGAAATGTCTATGTTTTTCTGTAAATATTGGGTACCTCTTTTAAAAATCTATATCAAAATATGGAACCATTGTGAATGTTTGCACAATAAAAATATGTTTCAAATATATCAATTCCTCAATTATAAAATACGGAATCAATTCCCAAAATAAACTACATAGAATTCTTTATCTTTAACACCAGAATAACTTCTGTCCTGTAATTATGCTGTTCTTTCCTTTAATCACAGATTTATATTGACACAAATAGCATAAATTCAGCTAAATAGATATTTTTGATTAGTATTTTGGATTTTAATTTGTACATTATTTAGGATTTAGGCCAAGAACCAATGGTGGATCCAAGACTAAGAGGCATAGGGACTTCCTTCCCCCTTTCCTCTCACTCAGCCCTGCATGGCTGTATGATGCCAAAACAAACAACCACTTCTTCCAGAGGGCTTCCCAGGCCCTCCTAGCAGATTTATACTGTGCATAGGAGGTTGCAATTAGAAGAGGCAATTGTCAGTCATGGCACAGCACATGATTAAACTCTGGGTTTTGAAATTACATACAATGAAGATATTATCATAATGGCTACAATCTAAAGTATTAGAAAAGTAAAGTAAAAGGAAAGAATCTCAATGTGGATCATTCCAACACTGTTAAAAATAACATCAATATCATTATTCACAAAAGAAACACAAAAATACTTTTTACGTGCTAGCTTCAAGTTCTGGTTGTAAATAATACAAAAATCCGTACAAAGATAGGAACAATGATAGCACAATATTTATTCTTTTCTCTGTAATAACAAGCCATACCCATGACTTGCTGCTCCCTGCAAACTACCAGAAAAAAAAAGGAAAGTCATACTTTCCAGCTCAGGCCTGACATTTGCTTGCATTCAGGATATATCTGAGGGAGCCTGTGGCACTTTTCTTCAGAAAAAAACTATATATACAGTGTTGTCCACTACTAAGACCATTTGGGAGTAATTGCTTATTTCATATACGCTTCCCCTTCCAAAATTATATAGACTCATTTGTTAAACTTCATTCCTTCCTTGTTCTCAATACAAAATCAATAAATTCTTCCCATATACAGTGGTGCCTCACTAGACGATCACCTCGCAGGACGAAAAACCCGCAAGATGATTGGTTTTTGCAATCATTATGGTCCCTCGCAAGACTTTTTTTCTATGACTGTGCTCCGCAAGACTTTTTTTTGAGACCGATGCTTCGCAAGACATTTTTTTAGACCAATGCTTTGCAAGACTTTTTTTTTTAGACTGATGCATAGGGAACCTCGCAAGACGATTTTTTCACAAGATGACAATTTTCGCGGAACAAATTAAAATCGTCTTGCGAGGCACCACTGTACAGTATTTGCAAACTCATTTTACTGGTTATCCCCTTCTTAAATTTTATGTTACATGTAAGTTAACTGCTATATACCAAACTTCTCTATGCCAATCACTTAATGGTACATGGTGAGTTATTTTCTAGTTCTTAGCAATAGTCAATCTTGCCACTGTTAACAAATCAGAAACTAGTTGTCTCATCATCCACTTATCTATCTCCTTTTCAAAGAAGTGCTATTTTAGGATATAAAGCTAAATTTAAATTGCTTATTTAACTTCTTTCTTTAAAAACCAATTGCCAAAATGTATACATATACTTACTAATGTGGAAATAAGAGCCTATTTTCTGGCTCCTTTTCAGCACATCTTAGAACAATTGTCATCTATTTGATTAAGTTTCACTGAAGTTTCTATGTAAAACCTATAAAAAAAAATTCTTTTATCCTTATTAACATGGATCCTTGATTTCTTATTTTCATTACAAAATTTATTAATAACACTTTGCTAATCCTTTAACTCTTCTTCGTTGATCTTTATTGGTAGTATCACAAATAAAAACATCAATCTTAAGTAACAGAGTGGCCTGGGTGCCAGATGGTGTGGGGTATAAATCCAATAAATAATAATAGCAATAATAGTACCTTTATATTACATGCTACAATTCTACTAAATCATGGCAATTCAATTTTCCTTAATTGAGTTAGCTTCTTCATAAATACTGGTGTCTCAATATTTTAGAATTCTCTCCTTTCAGTCTTTTCAAATTACTTGGAATATTATTCCTTTGAGCAGGTGTTCACAGTTTTAACTTGTCAGCTTGCTGACTGGTAGACTACACTTTTGAAGAGGAGGAATAACAGCAGCTTCTGACAATCTATTTCTTTATATTCGCGAAGGCTTTCACGGCCGGGATCTAATGGTTGTTGTGGGTTTTTCGGGCTCTTTGGCCGTGTTCTGAAGGTTGTTCTTCCTGACGTTTCGCCAGTCTCGAGGACAGCAACCTGTCCTCTGAAGATGCCGGCCACAGAGACTGGCGAAACGTTAGGAAGAACAACCTTCAGAACACGGCCAAAGAGCCCGAAAAACCCAGAACAATCAATCTATATCTTTGTTGTATTTTGCAAAGAGAAGAAAGTCTATTTCAGGCTTTAGTAATGCTTACTATTACTGAATAACGTCATGTTTCATGGGCAAGATCCTGTTGCTTAGCTTTGTAAACAGAAATAAAGTAGGCTAACCGCATCAATAAGGATTTGGTGAGTCAACTATTCTGTAAGTTTCATCAGTTCAAATGGGGCTACTCTAAGCACAGTTTACTTTAGCATAATAAGTCACAGTTAGACTAGGGCCATTTAATTAATAGAACTTATGGGGGAGTTGACTTGCCACATTCTGTTTGATTCAATGGACTTAGTCCAGCTTAATTTACTACACTAAGCAATAGGATTTTAGCCATTATATCTCTCTATTCAGAGTGAATTAAATATTTTTCTGAACATGTAACAATTCTGACTATACTTTACTTGAAATTCAAATTGAACCCAATCCATCTACAAATGTACATTTATATTAAAATGTAACTATTAACATTAGTAAGATAAATAGGTTGTAAAATTAGTTATAAATACCTGACATGGTTGTTACAAAATTTAGAGAATTGTGGTTGATTGATAAAAATAGTTCTCACTTCTTCCTGATCAGCTAGTGATGTCTTCTCTGAAACATCATCTGTTTTCTCATACCCTGTAAAATATTAGTCAATTAATATACAATGCTGTAATTTACATTGATTCCACATTTATTTTCAAATAATAGCTTGTTTTCATAATATTTGTTCTTCAAGTGGTCTTCTATGAGTTCACTTTAATGAGTCTGCACCTTGCAGAGCCAAATCTGATTATTCCAGACAATGGGTTTTGACTTTTGGTCCTCTCCCCCCACCCCCACTCCCACAGTGCTTGTTCCAAGGTGTATCTTCCTCAGTTTATAAATCTCAGATGAAACAGCAGCAAAACTCAGTAAACCTTAGGTGACAAAAAGGGGAGGAGGGTGGGTCCTGTGGATGCAGACAAGTCCATTTGAAGAACAAATGTTAGAAAAACAACCTGTTTTAAATTCATCATGATCTCTGTACATTCGTACTAAAGGATGAAGACAAGTCATTAGTTTTTGAAACCAGTTCAAGGTGCTGGTCATGACCTATAAAGTCCTGAATTGTTTAGGACACTGATATCTGTTTGAATGTCTTTCCCAAAAAGCAGCTACCCATTCCACCTGCTCCTCAGCCCATGATGTAAAAATGATGATACCAAAAGAGTCAACACAAGGAACCACACTTTTTCAGTCATGGCCCCTTCTCTTTGGGATAAACTTCCAATAGAGGTTCCTCAGGCATGTTCCCTCTCTGTTTTCAAGAAATTAGTAAAAACCATATTATTCAAAGCTGCCTTTTATTAATTACCTGAGATGCGTCAACTCTACTTTACTATATCCATGAACTACTACAACAATAAAAATTTGAAAAACAGTAACAACAGTTTCTGGGGATTGATTTGAAAATAAGGTTGTCAAAAGAGATCTACATTGAAATACAAATACATCTGTATTTCAAGTGTGGCCACTATGGCAGACAAAATAAAAATGAAGGAAAAGCACATAGAAATATGTGCTGTAGGAAAGGTGGCAGGGGAGCAATGGTCAAAAACTCTTAGTCTGAAGGATTCAGAAAGAATTCAAACGTGCAGACCCTCTGGTGTGAGTGAATAAAAAACATATGACAAAAATGTGGTTTAAAATATAAATCAATGAGAAAAATTTAAATGATACTTTATGTCACTGACACTTCAAGCAGTTTTTAATCAAATAGTCCAATAGATTACATACTCTGGAATTTTACTTGAAATACATAAAACAGTATTTTCAATGCAAACTATTATATATACCAAATAATATATTTTTGTATGTACAATCTGGAGTGATGGAGATTTTCTGAAAATTTGAATCAGAAAGATTTCCAAATTTCTTCTCTGCCTTAAATTGACCAAGATCTAATTCAGCTTGTTTGTCTGACTTGGTTCTGTTCACAACAAACATGTCACATTACCTATGTGCTGTTCAAATAGCTAATGTGACAAAAACCAGCTGCACTAAACATTGGGGAGTGTCAATAAAATGCCCTGCATGTGTTCCATGTATTATTACTAGCTTCTGAATATTCTTTTATTGACTACCAGTTGCTATAGGGCTGGATAGCTCAGTAGTTTAGGTATCAGGCTGCGGAACCTGAGGTTGGCAGTTTGATTCCTCACTGTGCCTCTTAGGGAAGAGCTAGCCTGTGTAGCCATAGGCAAGTTGCACAGTCTAAGGATGTCCCCAAAAGAAAGGAATGGTAAATCACTTCTCTACCTAGAAAATCCTGAAAAGGTTTGCCATATGACAGAATTTTCTTGAAGGCATGCTATTCTAAGTTTCTATGGACTTATTTACAAGATTATTTTATTCAGAGGTGTGGAGAGGAAAATTGCTGGCTGTAACCTGGCTTTTCAGTCTGACAAAGTCATTTGTTCAGGTAAAAATTGAGTTACATTTTTGCAACCCATTAAAGCTTGCCTATTAACTGCCACAGCTCTCTCATTAAATATGACCTATAATACACAACTCATACCACGAAAAAAGGTACTGAGTGCCTAGTGTGCTGAATAAGGCTGACCTTAGTCATTGGAAGACAGGTAGTGACTGCAAGGAACTGCAAATCACTTGGGGACTGGTAGTCTCTCTGCTCATTAGGCTTTTTAAGAGGAGCCTCTTTAAAAACTACCAGCCTCTATTGTTTTGCAATTCCCATGCAGCTTAAAAGACTCCACCCATGCACTTCTTCTCCATGCTTAATGGCAGTCATTGAACAAAGAAACTTGCCAAGGCAACATCTCTCTGTACTGAAATTCCTTTGCCCATTGAAATAATTAAACATGATTAAGAAAAATCCTATTGTTATGGTAGATATGGTCCAAGTATGACCAAGGGCTCTTTCAGATGTACCCTTTATGTTCCCACAATGCTTGTTTTTCAGGTAGATCTTTATGCTTTGCTTTCCAATATCTAAACAATATTTGTTGTTTTCCAGAATTTTCAACATTTATTATTCTAATTTAATTGCAACATTTAAATCTTCAGAAATGCTAGAGGGCTTGGTTTTGTTTTTCCTGTTAATGGCTTCATTTTGCTTTGGGTTTTCTAGTGTACATTACTATAGCACTGAGCAAAATCCTGTTACATAATTCAAACATAAAAAACCCTATAAGAGAAAGTTATCTTACTGACAGTCCAAGGAAAAAAGCAAAAGTGCTCACTAGAGATGTACATATCAAGAGAATTGTGTTTGATTTGGGACCTTCTAGGATGGAGATGCCTCTTTTCATATCACTCATGTTCCAGTCCTTTTGTTAAACATGAAAGGGAATGATGCTTTCGTGTTCTTTCATTTCATCTTCCCTCATATTTCATGCTGCATTTGCCATGCCGCCCAAAACTTTAAGCTATGCTTAAAAACTACTCCCCCCCTCCCGGAAAAAAAAACAGGGGCAAGGTAGGCAACAGGAAATCAATTCACAACAAAAGCAGGCAACAACACATAGAAAGAAAGAAAAATCATCAAAAAACCTCTCACCAAAATGCCCTTGCTTGGAAAAATTAATCTACATAAAATAAGCCAAGTGTTCTTCTATTTAAACCCCCCATTTAAAAAATTAATCTAACAGGGTAATCATCACCCCTCCCCAACACTGTAGGGGGCAATAACAAAATAAAATACACATACATATACCTCTCCAAAAATGAGAAGATAGAAAGCAAATAAAGGCAATAAATACAATCAAAGCTGCCTCCAAACCAATTCTACTAGAATACAGGGAGATTTATCTCATTCCCATCAAGAAAAAAGGCAGCTAAAGCCAGAGAAGCAGAAAAAGAAAAGAAACGAAACCAAGAACAAATGCCCCTTTCATAGAGTTCCAGTACCATCTATAGACTCAACATTCCCTCTCCCCTCTGGTACATTCTTACTGGTTGCAGACATCCCTTACTGGTCACAACACGTAATCTTTGCAATAGTTATTGACACATGACTGAATGGAAATTATCAGGTGATAATTGACATACAAAGGTTAAAGGGTATGTGACATACAAAGGGGGAAAGAAAATTTATACTAAAGAACGTTTCATGTTCCCTCTTTCAGAAATATGAATCATCGTGTTTTAGAGCCTCACTTTGGGGAATGAATGAAAGAACATGAAAACGAAAATAAGAGCCTCTTTTGTGTACTTTTTTTTCATTTGTGTTAACATAGAAGTTCCACCCAAGGTTTCCTCTACGCTGGGTATGTGTTAGTGCGCGCATGTACGCGCCTCTGCCACCCTGCACACAGCTGTCTTCTTTCTCCACGCAGCAATTGTGTTAGGTTCTGGTTGTGATGGAACCCTGTGCGTGGGGTAAGTGGAGTCACACACGCACATGGGACAAAATCACGCACATGAGAGCAGAGCTGAAAGTTAGAGGGTATGTTAGTTTCATCCCTAATGTTCACTCCTACAGAATGCCTTGCTGTATACACCCTGATCTATGTATGTTCCCAAAACTTGTTCACATAATTCCAAGCCTTAAAAAAGAGGAAACACAGGGACAACAATAGTAACAAGAACAAAAGAGTATTAGAGGCTGAACAAAATGTACTAGATTCTCAAGCAAAAAGACTGGATCAATCAGAGAGTAGCAATAATGTTCTCTGATCATTGGGAAAAAAATAAGAAGTGATCACTGAGAAATATGGGACAAACTGTGTGACAACCTATCTGCTTGTGGCCTCAGCCTTATGTTAAATAGGCTCCTGCAGTGACCACCTGGAGGACACATGTCAATCCATTAATGAAAAATTTCAATAATACTGCTAACTGACTCTTTCAAAAGCTGCTTCAAATCATAAATTGCGAATTAGTCCTAAAATGATTAAATATTCTAACTCAAGATTTTGAGGAAATCTACAAAGAAAGCTAAGAGGAGTAAAAAAAGAGAGGTTACTTCCGTAACTCTGGTTCTTTGAGTGGTCATCTGTGAATTCACACTAATGGGTTTATCTGCGCTTGTGCAGAGGTTTCTGGAATCTTCTAGAGCTTAACATTTGTTCACTAGGACCACCCCCCTAGTACACATGGTCCGTCCATCCAGGCAAGTGCCTCAGTTCCCACAAAGACCGCCGCTGCATAACAATTTTCAGACATGACGGACAGAGGGGAGGATGGCTGGGAAGTGTGAATTCACAGATGACCACTTGAAGAACCAGTGTTATGGTAATTAACCTCTCTTTCTTCTTTGTGGTCTCTGTGAATGCACACTAATGGTAATTAACAACCTTACCTGTCTGGAAGAGGGACGTCATGGAAGCACAGCTAACAGAACCACTTGTCCAAATGCTGCGCCCGACTTTGCCTGGAGGTCCAAATGGTAATGAGAGGCAAAGGTGGACGGCATGGACCACGTGGCAGCCCTGCAGATATCAGGGATGGAAATGCAAGGAAAACAGTTGAGGCAGCCCCTGCTCTTGTAGAATGAGCCTTAATTGCAACAGGAAGAGGCTTCTTGGCTAAATGATACGCAAGGCGTATAGTTGCCACAAGCCATTTAGAGATGATTTGTGAAGAAATGAGGGATCCCCTATGTGGTAAGTGCAGGGAAACAAAAAGTTGTTTGG